CCCCCCCGCCCCCCCTCTCAAGTCCAGTCTGACGGTACTCATCAGACAGACCGCAGTAACACCCAGACCCAGTAGAGACCCCTACTCTCAACTTCACATACAGTAACATGCTGAATTTGTCCTTTGTGTTATCACTTTGTAGTTATTTATATGGATTTTTTTCCTGGATTAAATATGAATAACAATCAAAGATATTTAATTTTTTTTAAAGATTTTGTAAGTATTTGATTATATTTGGTTTATTTATTCCTGGAGTTTTCTTATTGGCTTCTTCAGCAGTTGTCAAAGAGGTTTGTGATTGTGTGTTTTTAAGTTATTGCTTAAAGGAGTTCAATGTTTAATTATCACGCCAGTCAGAGAGATGCTGGTTTTATTAAAAAGTGGGACAGAGAAAGGGCTGGACGGTCGCAGAACACAGTACCTGATGGGGCGCTGCCAACACAACAGGGTTTAAACCAACACCTCTTTGGGATCAGAACACATGGCATTAGGTTTTTGTTTTTACAAAGAGCGGTGCCCACTGGTGCTGAATGTGGGGCCCAGTTTATGTTACTGAGGGGACTGAAGAGTGTGTGTTTTGAATGTATTCCCCCCATGCAAGGGGTTTTTGCAGGAAGCACATGGGAGGGACACTGAACACGTCCGGTCCTCTGTTAACACCTGCAGCATCACCTTCTTCAGCCCACTGCCTCCTCGTCGTATTGATTGCTTCGGGCTCCCTCATGAGGCTCTTTGAGGTCCACAGGTCAGCCTGTGAATCTAACCACCAGGAGGAGACCATGTGATTTTATTTGGCTTCGAGCACTTTGGCCTCCCACTTCAGGCTGGGAGAATTGAAATGTGCCCATGTTGTGTTCGTCTGCACGGCCCTTAAATCAGTCGGTATCTTAATGGAACTTCAGTAGGATTTGTTGAGACCCGTTCCTTTCAGAGCAAGTCATCTGCTGTTTACTTGGATTTCTTCTGTCGGAGCTGCAATATTTTCTTTCTGTTCTGTTTTTGCAGCACAGTATTCTCATTGCTTCGAGCGAACCTCAACAAACTTTAGGAATTAAAGGACCACTCCGCTTTACCAGTGGCACTTGAGTTTAAAGGTCTAGTGTGACATTGAGAAGGATCAATTGGCAGAAATCTAATATTTATAGGTAAAATTCTCATTACTGTATAAACACCTGAAAATAAGAATCATTGTGTTTTTGTTACCTTACAATGAGCCGGTTTTATTCTACAGAGTCCGCCATGTTGCCACCCTAGTTTCTCTTATGTGGTTGTACGGCTGAGCTGTATTGGAATTGTTTATTTTCACTGCCACTAAATCCTCCACACTGGTCCTTTAACGCGGATGTACGTTTGCAGATCTCTGTGCTGACATTGACAATCTTTGGTTTACATCAGTCCTCATTTCGACAGGCCACGCTAGTATTAGGATTCCTGATAAGTCCGCTGCGATTTTTATTTCTTGACTTGGGCCTAAATGGTGAGTTTCCACCAGAACCTTTCTGAAAAAGCCTTATCTGACACACAAGAGGTATATACAGTTTTTTTCCTCTTCTCACTAACTTGCGGTGCAACGACAAATCAGTGGATGTACATCACCTTCCTTTGGACATCCTGATGACTGAAGGTAGCTTGCATGCACTTTTCTGCTGCAGACTTTGTTGTTACTAATAGCAGGGGCACGGTAGGCCAATTCTTAATGAACCCTTCGACCACGCAGGTACACACTGACTCTCTGGGACATGTGTACACCATGTACTGAGATTAGTTCCCAGTGTTTTTAGTAGTATCTGTTGAATCAGGTGATGAGGTCAGGGCATTGGCCGGTCAGCCTGCCTGTTTTGTTTTAGAGAAAAGTCTTTATGTGATCAGTGTTGGTGTAACGTCTCTATGTACTTTCACATAGCGCCATTAGGGGCAGCGTCGTGCCGTCTGAGACCCAGTGTGTGAGGTCCGTTGGCTCGATGTTGGCGGACCTCCACACAGAGGCAGCAGCAGGACGCTCACTCACACAAATCTTCTTATCCTGGAACACCACAGCTGTTTGATTTGTGCCATCCTTGTGTTTTTTGTGTGTTTTTATATTTTGTTGCGGTGCATTTTCACTGCAGTTTTTTTTTTTCAGTTGTTTGTACCAAATACAGCTTTTGGAATATGTTTTATTCTTCCAAAATGTTTTGGATTTTTAAAAACTATTTTGTCCGTGTGTTAATCTCAGGGCTGAATCTCAGATATTCTAATGATTTAAATTTTATTTTGTGCTTTTTTTTTTTTCCCTCTCTCCTGTGTGTTTAACCCCACATTGACTGGAGCAATGGTACATGTAGCAGGATGTGGTTATCTCTCAGATGCAAACGCCTTCTGTCCTGGTACACACGACTCATCACATTCCAACGCCTCCTCCATGTGTCCGTCTGTCTGTCTGTCTGTCAGTGCTGCGGTGTTTTTAGGTTGATCTAGGACTGCCAACTCCTGTCACTTTTTTCATGGTCTTTGTTTTACGGCAACTTTTTGTACCGTCTCGGTCACCTCTCGGAGCATCAGAGGTCATGTACTTGTCAAAAATAAATATTTTGTTCAACGTTGTGGTTTTCTGTAAGAGATTTGTGTTTTTGGGTGACTGGGGGCCAGAGTTATTATTATAGCATGGTGTTTTTTATTCGTTTTTATTTTTGCTCATTACAGTTTAGGTTTTATTGTTTTTTTT